CGTGCTTCTTTCATTTTCATTCTTCTCCAACTCTAGTGCTTTTGAACACAGAACCCCCATCCTCCCACCACCTAAACTCTGCATTCCAACCCTGTGATCTCATGGTACCAGGCATATCTCCCCTGCCATGCCGCCAGGCCACCTGCTGGCTCTTGCAGGGGAATAGACGGGAACATAAACTCACCCTAGAAGAGCAGGATACTCTCTGTATATTTTTACGAGTAGGAATCCAGCTCCTATTTAGAGTCAGTATTTTTTAATAACTCCTTCAAAATTGAACAAAACATTTCTTGTTGCTCTTATTTCACGATAATATCATTCTTTCTGCACCAATGTATAGAATCTCAGAAACTAGAGAATGGAAAAGATGTATTAGGTCATGTCTAGCGCATTCCCACTGGTCACAATTCTTTTTTCCCACAGTCTCTCCTCTAGTGCCTTTCTCTTCTAGTTTTCTCAAGAATTTGTTTCCTGCATTTCTCTTGGGGAATAATTTCTTAGTTTGACCATGGAGGAATTTATGTAGAAATAGTCATAGTCTTTATTTTTCAGCTTAGTATTTCTAATCTTTATAACCCTTAACATTAACATAAGCAGTCCCTCTTCTTTCTGAGTCAAGTATTTCTGGATGGAATGTTTTTCCCTTCCATTTATTAAGTTCAGAGTTTGTTTTTCTGCTTTGTTTTTTCTCTTCATCAATCAACCCTAAAGCCCATTAATCATTTTTTACTGTAGTGAAAATTCCTTTGCTTATTCCCATATCAGGAACCCAGAACTGGTTAAGGTCCCTGGGTACTGGAGGAAGCCTCACTAATATATGTACTCATTCTGTGCCCCCGATTCCTCTCTCCCTTTCTCTCTCCTTTTCTCTCTTTCCCTCTCCCTCATTCCCTCCTTCCCTCCCTTCACCCCTCCCTTTGTCCTTCCATCCTCTCTCTGTTTCCCCTCAATTCTCAATTGGAAAGTATTTTTAAAATACTGTTTCTAAATTATGATTTGAAGACTTAGTCATTTGAAAACTTAGTGAAAGTGTATGTGCATTTATGATTTTGAATGGTTAGATTGTATTTGTTCTCAGTTACTTAAATGATATTTCTCATGCCAGGCGTGGTAGCACATGCCTGTAATCCTAGCATTTGGGAGGATCATTGCAAGTTTGAGACCAGCCTGGGCTACAGAGGAACTCAAGGACAGCCCAAACTGCATACTGAGACCCTATCTCAAAATGACAAAAAAAAAAAAAAAAAAAAGATATTTCTCATATCCTCAGAGCCACAAATCTCTCAGGTCTCCTCTTGAGTGCTTGGATCGAGTACAGTTCCAGACCGTGGAACTGTGATGATGCATTCTATTTTAGAGATGTCATCTTAGTGATCTTGGCAGGAAAATAAGTGGTTATTTGTACATTTGGAGTTCCTAGGGAAAGGGAAGGGGAAAAGTTACATGGTCTTGACACTCACATATTTAATGTTGGTTATCTTTCAGGAACTAATGTTAGGTATAGAGATAAAGCCTTAATACGCTATATGGTTTCCTGGAAAGGGGAGTCCAGGGTAGTGGCTCTGATGAAAGCGATCTGTAAGCCTCATGTAATCCCAGTCAAGAAAACTTCAACAGGTTTTTTATTTTCCTTGAGATCTGACAAAATGACTCCAAAATGTATTGGGAAGTATAAAGCGCCAATGGGTAAGATAACCTAGAAGGAAAAAAGGAGAAAAATATTCAGCCTACTAGGTCCTGGGACTTATTTAAAAAGCAGCATTATTCTGTCACAGATATAGAAAAATAATCCAAATGGGATAAATTTGAAAGAACAAGTTCTTAACAGATTCTTCATACAGCAATCCTTTTATGACGGAGATACCCTTCCAGAGTAATGACCTTCCAGAGCCTTTTCAATAAATGGTGTTAGAACAATGAGATGTCCATATTGAGTGTGTGGGTGGTGAGGATTGAATGCCAGCTTCATATCATATGTAAAATACTCCAAATGGATACAGACCAAAACATGAAAGATAAAATTTTAACATGTGTACACATGTACATACTTCATGACCTCTGGATAGTGAAAAATTTCCTTTATGACATAAAACTATTTTCAAAAGTTATATATTTTACTGGTAAAATTAAGAACTTCTATTCATCAAAGGGTAACATAAAGAAAAGACAAATAGCCGAAGGGTGAGAGAATATATGTGTTATACATGTCATTGACAGAATATTAGTATCTAGAATATATGTAAATTCTTAATAAATGACAGTACAATCTGAGAAAAATGGACAAAAAACTTGAATATGTTCTTCACAGAAGTACAAATAGTCAATGATCATATAAGACCTGTCTTTAATAAAGAGGTGAAATTAAGCCATAAGATTATACCTCAGATCCGACACAGTAGCTAAAAATAAAAGGAAGTATAGCAGCTGGTGGTAGAAAGGATATTTTGTTACATACCTAAGAATAGTTCACCACATAGTAGTATAGTTGAAGGTATTCATAAATACCTTAAGTCATATATACATTAGAGAAATTTGGCACATAATACATACAGATATATAAGATATATATATATGTACACACACGCACACATGAATGGTACTTTATTTCCCTTGTAACTTTATTTTGCAAGTTGTAAAATATGCCAAATGTAAAAAGTCTTAATAGAGGATGACTAAGCAAAACATGGCACATAGTGAAGAGGGCACAAATGGGCTTTGAGGTCAGTGGTCCTTATTTTTTTTTTTTTTTCTCCGGTACCAGGAACCGAACTCACGACCTTGCGCTTGCCAGGCAGGCACTTTTGCCGCTGAGCTAAATCCTCAGCCCCAGTGGTCCTTATTTTAAAATCCCAATCCCAGTACTTATTAGCTGTGTGAACACAGACAGTCTGTTCAGATCTGTGCTTCTCTGTTTTCTCACCTGAAAATTGGAGATAATTATGTATCATATTGTGTACAGTAAGGATTAAGTATACGAATGTATACAAGGCCATGAGCATAAATGCTAGGAACATAATAGTTGCCTAGTCAGTTACAGCTAGTGTTACTGATATTCTGCTGTGACTTTTTTAAAATTTATTTTAGAAGTAAAAGAGCAAAAACATATTAAGAAACAGACAACCATTTACAAAGTAGCACAAGAATAGTACAAACAATACTGAATTACAGACAAGGTGACAGGGAATTAACAATGGTTTTTTTTTTTTTTTTTTTTTTTTTTTGGTTTTTCTCCGGTACCGGGAACCGAACTCACAACCTTGCGCTTGCCAGGCAGGCGCTTTTGCCACTGAGCTAAATCCCCAGCCCCAACAATGGTTATTGTATTACATATTGATAACTTCAAGGTGGTTACTCAGGAAAACAAATATAGACGTGCAAGATTGATCAAAATAATTAATCATTAACTGTGCCTTTCAATAAAGTGATAGAAGTCAGTACAACTATGTTAGCTATCCTGTATATACATATATACATAATTTTACCCTTTTGTCTTTTCTCTTTTCCCTCATCCCAGTTGCTCTTTACTTGTGAATGATGGTTGTTAAAATGATAATACATTTTGTTTTTTCAGAACCTTTTAGTTGTAGCACATTTACTGATATATACTTATTTGTTTTTTGAATATTAAAATTATTCAGGAGAAAAATAGTGCTTTTTACCAGTATTGCATTTTTCGTCTCACTTTCCTACTATAACTTCAGTAGCAGAAAGTATAATCCAAAGAGAAAATGACAAAAACTGTTTTTAAAACATAAAATTATGCAGTTAAAGACTCCTTTTGAAGAAATGAAAAATCAAATATGACTATCAAAAGTAAAAGGAAACTGAAGTACAAAAAGTTAAATATTATCAAAAATAGTATTGAAAATAAAATGTATAAGATATGGTGAAAATATATGATGAATGTCCAAATTTTTTACAAAAATTTGTTATAGTAAAAAACACATTACCATTAATCCCCCTCAAAATACTTCCTCTACCTTCAAACACACTTATCATTGTTGCTACTTTCTGAAGCAGTTCTGGAAGTCCGCTTTCATGAGTGTCTTTAATAGCACTGTTCTGGCTACCTCCATGTCCTGATTCAATTAAAAACATTTACCATTCAAGATCATTTTGACGTTTAATAAGAGCCAGAAGTCACACAGTGCCAAATTCATTGCATAATGTGGATGAGGACACATTGTGATGCTTTTTTTGCAAGCCTTCCTTTCCATTGGATAGCATTCATTTTAGTTTTGATTATATTTCTTAAAGACATTCACAAAAGAGGACTTCTCAGAACTGTTTCAGAAGATGACAGGCATGGTGCAATCACTGTGTCCAAAGCAAAGGGGACTATTTTGAGGGGGATACTTGGCAAGTTGTCTTTTATTGTGAGAAGTTTTTAAAATTTAAACATTCACTGTATCTTTTTATCACACTTGGTATGTTTCCCGATTTTGAGCTCAAGACTGTATACTTTAAATTATATCAGTAATTATTTTTTTAAACCATAACTACATGGGAGTAATCTTTATCCCTGATGCTATGGTCATTTTCTTACCTGCAGAATAAGTGTAATCAGATGAAAAACTTTTACGTTTCTTTTAATGTCTACTGCAATTTGATTCTATGTCTGAATCTTTTTTCACTGATCATCAGAATCACAGTCATCTTTCCTTCGTGGGGGCTGCTGCCTGTACTCTACAATTCACGTTGTAACACTAGTCAAATTAAGTTACTGCATTGAACGTTTACTTATCTTTTCCTAGGCACAGACTTACGTATTTTTGTGTGTACAAGTTTTTGAGTGCAGAAATACATTTTGTCATTTTCTACCTTTAATAGCAGCTAGCATAGTGATTTGCAGAAAGCAGGTAAAAATATGCATAATGATGATGACTGTATAGCAGATAATGTTTGCAAAAATAGGACTAGCTACCATAGCTGCAGCACATGAGCATAGGATTCCTGAATCCTGCCTCATAAGCAAATGTGTTTGTTTTTCATTTTTCCAGAAAGACAGCATGAAGCGAGTATTTTCTGGCATTCAACCTACAGGAATCCTTCACCTGGGAAATTACTTCGGAGCCATTGAGAGCTGGGTGAAGTTACAGGATGAGTATGACACGGTGCTTTACAGTGTTGTTGACCTCCACTCCCTCACTGTGCCCCAGGACCCTGCCGTTCTTCAGCAGAGCATCCTGGACATGACTGCTGCTCTCCTTGCCTGTGGCATAAACCCAGAGAAAAGCATCCTTTTTCAACAGTCTCAGGTCAGCTGGTCAGATTACAACCAAGAAAATTTTTTATGTTCAGATTACTTGAAGAAAAATTTGAATGATTCAAACAGCTCCTTTTCATGATTTTTAAAAATTGAGGATGACTTCACTGAGTGTGATTATTTCACTGTAATCTCTTATCTGTAGTCCTATCATTAAGTGTCTTCATATTTCAATAGTATTTTTCAACTTCCACTATTCTTTGAAAATGTCTAGTCCTTCATCTACCAAGAAGTTGTATCTGATCAGTACTTCTAAATTTGGAATTATTTTTCTATATTGGTTTGCATTTAATCTGATGACTTCCTGCTGTTGATAATCTCTTTGATCAAGAATAGGATATAGTTATCAATAGTTTTACATAATTCTAGTGTTGCTTTACCTGTTATGAATTTGGAAGGCCTTTTGGATAATTCCTTTCATTCACTTATTGTATAATAGCTTTTGAAAAGATTTGATAAAATAAGAAATTGGAAGACAAAGTCCCAGTGTCTTATGGCCAAGCCAAGAAAGGCTTCAGAACAAAGCCAAAATATTTGACTCATATCTTCACTATAGATGAATCAGTTTATTCTTGGACAGGCAAATAGTCTGGCCCTGATACGGGACAACTAAGAGACACCCTAGCAAATATAATACAATTCTAACCGGATCAAGCCCGCATTACAATTTACTTTAACCTGCAGCGAAAGAATGACTTTCCTTAATCATAAGCATCTATCATTATTTTAACGTATGTTTTATTTCCCATAGAACTTAATGTAACAATTCATACAGAACAAGTGATTAAAGTATGTATTATATGGTTCAGGTGTAGCCCAGTAGTAGACTGTTTGCTTAACATGCACAATGCCCTGGATTTGATTTCCAGCACTACAAAGACATACACGCACATACACACGTGAAATAATGAGTTATCTTCAAAAAATGAATGAGGTTATCAATTTAAGCTTGTTGCCAGCACATAGATATTTTGATAAAATGCTAGAATGTAATCTTCAGAAGGCCCATAAAGGGGGGCTGGGGATTTAGCTCAGTGGCACAGCTCCTGTCTGGCAAGCTCGAGGTCGTGAGTTCGATTCCCAGTACCGAAAAAAAAAAAAAAAAAAAGAAGGCCCATAAAGGTAATTCCCCCCAAGGTATTTTTATTTTGTTTTGTTTTTTTGGTCAAGAAACATTTACTTACACATGACTTTTCAAATTCAATTTTGGAAAGCTCTAATTGCTGTCAGGTACCTGTTTATATTGAGCAAACATCTGCCTCTCTAACTTTCATCCATTCATTTCATTTCCGCTTTCTAAAAACAGACAACTCTTATATATATCCACTCTTCACATACTGGGAGATATTTATTACATACTATCCTTACCATGTAGGTTTTATCTTCTTCAGGTTAGTTGTTTCTGATTCTCTCTGTCTCGGTCACCTTATGTTGGAAGCATTTTCATTTTCTCTTTGAAAGGAATGTATCTCTCATATTTCATGAAATAAGGTTTACTCAGACTTTTCATCCTCTCTGACACAGAAAGGTGGTCAGCATTAACATCAACTTTTGAGTCACCTAACACATTTTTCAGAGCACATCCTCTTCATTCCATTGGAGTTGTTTTTGATGCAAACTCTATCTTGGTCCTTATTTGATGCTCTTTCTAAAAATTGCATTCCCAGCTACAAGTACATATTTTGTTATTTTTCTAGACTGAATATATCAATCTGTTGTCATTCCTGGTCACATGGCTTTCTTAAGTAACTTGTAAATATTAACAGCTTATTTATAGCAACATTCAATAAATGCATTTTAAACTTTCTCCTCCAGAAGTAACTACCACATTATAATATTAACATATTATAGATGCGTTTTCCTTTGTAAAGGTATTTGGCAGTGACCTCTATAAGATCTAAAATTCTCAGTAGTGGATACTCTTTTTCCATATGGTACATTGCTGTACAAAACAGCAGTTATGAAAGAGTACCTCATATGAAAGACTTTGTATAGCTCCTCTCATAAATGAGGGGTAAGAAAATTCACCTTCCATTTCAATTATTTCTTGCCTAGACAACTGAACTGCCCTTCGCTCCTGTCCTAGTCTTACAGAATTGCAGTTCATTCCCTTGGTGGCAGTTATCTTTCTACCAAAAATGCATGCATATTTTTCTCTTCCCCTCACATAAAAAAAAAATCTAATCTCAGTTTAGCTGGAAACTCCCTCAGCAGCGAGGTCTCAGGAAGCATCATGCTACCATTTTTTCCACTAAATCATGAAGCTATTTTTATCATCAGTTTGTGTTCACATGATTGGATTCACCTTCATTAATAATTCTATAAAGCAGATGTGAAAGAATTTTTTTCTGGTTTTATTTTAGGAAGTTTGATAAATCAATTGTTTGGACAGATAACTCACAGATCACCTATCCGCATTTTATAAAGTGTTTTTGTTAGTTGAGAATTTTGTTGTACATTTAAGTCTTTAATTGATCATTAAATAAGTTATGGTGAGGATAGGAATTTGAAAAATAATTATTCTTAAAGCTTTGAAAGTCAACACCAGTTAAGTTAATTACACCTGTACCCCAGACAAATATACACAGAATTATTTGTAAGTAAAGTGAACAGTATTTGAAATTGTGTGCTAAAGAAAAATACTGTTTTATGTTTTTATTCTGCTTATATGAGTTTGAGTTTTTTAGATCCCACATATGATCTCACTCTCTCACTGTGTTAAATTATTTTTACATTTATTACTTTTTTGTATTTTTAAATTTACATGAATTTTTACAGTGTATTTACTGCTAGAGTATAAAGACACTGTTCCCATATGCTGTTCTTCTGGATCAGAAAAAGTCCGGATAATGATGTGGAGTAGGGAAAGAATTTAGCTATGTTATAATGCTGATTTTACCAATAATGTTCATCTCCCATCCTTTACTTTCATTCTTAGCATTCTGACTGGAACAATTTAGATGTACTGAAGATTTTTCTCATTATTTTCTTTTTCTTTTTTTCACCCACTGGCCTATAGTCATGGTGCTTCCCCTAAAATATGTTTGCCATATGTGGGAAATTTTACAGACTCTGTCCTAAAAGGGTGCGCGCGCGTGCGTGCGTGCGTGTGTGTGTGTGTGTGTGTGTGTGTGTGTACACGCACCCCTATGCACATGCACATCTATGTGTGTGTTTGGCAGAGGTCTCTATCTAAATGCCAAAGTCAATGGACTTTAATATCCAGCAGGCCTGAGTGCAGATCCAATCTGAGTGCCACAGATGTCTCTGAGGTATAGATCTCCACATCCTTCACTGTTACTTTTTGTGCAATCTAATCACCCTGCAGATGGAAGATAAAAAGTGGATGACATAGCTTTAGGCGCTGGCTTTCTGCCGAGACCAGAAAAACGAGTTTAGACCGTTAGACATCGTGTTATAGAAAGTCCAAAACAGTCCAGGGAGAAGAATGGAATCTGCAGTTTTGGAACGTGGCGTTGTGCTCTAGTTAGAGTTATGTTTTGTTTCCCAGGAAACTAAAATCAATAATAATAATAAATAAAAGCGGATGATAGAGGAATCAGTTTCTGAATGAAGGCCAAAGGAGCTGCCTGTATGAATCTCGGCTGTCTGCGCAAACAGAAGTTATACCTGACTCACTGTTCCTTGTCTTAGTAGGTAAAACGAAGGCCTAAGATTTAGAGTCTCCACTGTCTTTATTTATCCTGGTAATTAGAGAATCATATTTGAATATATGTTCTTGTTTATTGAACTCTCAAAATTGTTAGATATCAAGAACAGGTGTATATTTAGCTTGTATTAGAAAGAAGCAAAAAAATGTCTGCAGAGAGTAATGGACTTGGGGAATTTACTTGTAAACTTGATATTACCTCCAGCATTCCTGGGAAAAGTAAGCATCTAAATGGCCTATGGCACAAATAATGAGAAGTTAGGAAAATGATTATATAACCAACTTTTCATGTATTGCCTCTCTAAAAAGTTTCCACTGGAACCCTTGTTCCACTTCTTGCTTAGATCATTACCCCTGTGTGACCTGATAAACAGTTGCAGTGTTTTTCTTGCCTCTGTCCTTGCCAGAGGAACAGGTCATAGTTTGATTATACCTTCAAGAAGAGTTCTTCACTCTAGGAGGCTGAGGCAAGAGGATCACAGTTAGTCTGGGCAATTTAGTGACTTAGTGACACCCTGTCTCAATTTAAAAAAAAAAAAGAAAACTCAGTAAAAAGGCTCTGGTATAATCCCTACTTATACCCAGAGTATAAGTACTTTGGGGAGACTTGGATGGAGACTTCTATCAGAGCAGTAGTAGAAAAATTATAGGCATTAGAACCAGATACATTTGACTTCAATGTCACTGTTGCCTCTAAATTGTAACACATTGTACAAGTTATTGAAGTTTTCTGAACTCCCCTTTTAATGTCTGTAATAAGGATTTAACTAAAATGATGTATCATCCTTGGCTAATACTAACTTTGTATCACCCTACCCCACTGTACATATGCTGTACTGTCCTACCAGGTCCCCTGATGTTGTAAAGGATTTAGATAAAGGTATAGTAGGATTAAAAGATGGAGATCACCAGACGCGGTGGCACACATTTGTGATCCCAGCACTCAGGAGACTGAAGCAGGAAGATTGCCATGAGTTCAAGGCCAGCCTGAACTACATAGCAAGACCTTGTCTCAAAGGAAAAAAAAAAATCTAAAAGATTGATATCAAATTAATGACAATGCCTCTTTTTATCCTCAATAATAAAATATTTTCAGGAATGGTGGTATAACTGAATGGTATAGTGTTTGGCTAGCAAGCACAAGGCCCTAGGTTTGATCCCCAGCACTGCAATAAAGTAAAATTAAATATGTTCAGATTTTCTTGGTGACTTTTTTTTCTGTTTGGAGACTTTTGAAGAAATATTTCAACCATTCAGTAAGTATAAATATAAATGCCTTTGAAATGCTGTCTTTTTTGCATACTTGCTTTTGGTATCTGTTT